TTATTGAAAATCTAATTGATTTTTTTTATATATAATAACTAATCTATATTGTGATGCAATGTTATTTTTATATTACGGACTTTTTTTTAATTGAAATTTAAAATAAAATTAAAATTAATAGCTAGATTAAAGTTACGAGAGATTTAAAAAAGTTACTAAAAATATATTCTTTAAAAAAACTAAAAAGGATCTTGTTATATATATACACACGTGCATATACTCACATAGTTGTCATCTTAAATTGTTTACAGTTATAAAAACAAATAACAAGTAAACACATCATTAATTAGTATATTAAATATTTAATACAAATCACTACTAAATTTTTTTTATTACATGCGATTTCTCCTGCGAATTTTTCATAAAAATTCGCAGGAAACGTTCTTCCTACAAATTTTTCTGCGAAATTTTATCTATAGGTAATACCTTTGTGGATAATATATTTCTACGAATTTTAAAATTCGCAGGAGATTTTCCTGCGAAATTTCTTGCAAAAAAAAATGTTCAAAGTTCAGTTGGGAAAACTTTGACAAGATGCGACATTAAGACATTAGTTAAGAAAATGCTTTTCTATTAGTTTTTGAATTATGAACCTATATTTTATTGATTAAAATTGTTTTAGTATCAAATTTAAATTCATTGTAATCGCTTTCAAATTTAGTTTTGTTTAATGTGATACTTCTACTTAAAGGTTTTTAATTTATTTAGCAAGATTATTTAAAAAAATTCTTATTATATCGTTGAAATGATGCACGTGGGGTAGAATGTGTCACATATTTATGTATAGTAAAGTTCATTTTTGTTAGGGTTTGATGTAACATGATTCATTCTCATGCATACATTCTAAGTTATTAATCTCAATTATTTTTTATTATTCTTGCTTTATCTTCTTTCTTTAATGTTTGTTACAATTTGATCTCCCTTAACTTGAGTTTGTGGATTTAAAGTCATTGAAAAAGTCGTATGAACCTTTGAATTGAGTACAACGGCTAATGGTGTTTACATTTAGAAATGGAGTATACACTACTAGTCATTTATAAACTATTATTTTTAAAGTTGTTTTCTTTACTAGGTTATGCAAAAAATTGGTAACTTAGTCAAGAAATTTAATCTCTAATTTGTAGGTAATCAAGGTTTGAGTAATTTTGTAAATTAAATAATAATTTCTGAACTTATAACTAGATCAAAGCTTGTTTGCAAGCATGAGATTAATGTTTGGAGAAATTAAACTCCAACATGTTTCATTATTGTGTTAAAATCAATTTTTGAAATGTTTGATAAAAATCTCAAAAGATAAATTTTATTTTTATTGGCAATACTTTATTGCATTTAAGTTAATTTGTGCTAAACCAACTTTTCGACAAACTAATTTTCATTCTTTTTGGGTTTTAGCATAATATGTTGAGTTACTATTGTCATATGTTACATAAATTTTATTGGGAGACAATTTTTAATTTGAAAATACTATAATGTGATTTGGCACGCTTTTATGTTAACACTTAACAACCACACTTCGCACTATATTGCCACTCTACACTCCTTGTTCTAGAATTCAAAAAGAACCAACAACCATAATCACAAATTGGCCTATGTTTCTCCATAGAACTATGATTAGGAAATTCATAATGACAATCTCAATTCATTTTTCAATAACCATTTTAAGAGAAAACTAAGTACTTACCTTCAATTATTTTATAAATTTTAAATGTTGTTTTTCTTCATGAAAGTAATTGTTTTCATAAGCAAAAGATTTCACAAACTTAGAATAGTTGTCTCCTTCTTTACGATAATCATAATAGAGAGTCTCTTGAACAACGACATGGTGGTGCAACCATTGCAACATCAGGAAAACCCTAAGTGGTGAACGAGGCCGCTTGAAGCACAATTACCAATTTGGGACCTTGTGCCTCGATGCTTACTCATTGACACATGTTGCCCTCTGTTCAACTTCCTCCACACCACCCGCATATAAACTTTGCGCTTATGCTTTCCCATACATTTGTGGTTCTCACAAATATATGACTTCTCCCTAACCCACTTCAAGGACCCATTGTTGTTGTTGTTTGGGTGGCAAGGTAATGGCTAAGGATGTTGGCTTAGACCTATGTGTGAATAATCGGAGATGTTGGCTAGAGATGTTTTATGGATTTCAAGTGAAATTATCTAATCACCTATGAAATTGGTTATGAAAAAACAATTTTGTATGCTATTTTTAAAATTGGTCAATAACCAATTTTAAAAGTATCTCGCTACAACATAAACGAAAATAAAATCAGTTGTGTATAATTGACTTAATGGACTCAAAATAACTAATTTAATATACATTTTTTTTCACTAGTGTCTAAATAAATTTTTTGGTATTTATAGATAAGGTTTCATTTTGTGAAGTGTGTTGTGACCAACTTCCATTACCATTAATATTTCATGTCTTCTAGACCATCTCATACACTCGAGTAGGCATTAAAACATTTACGAAATATTTGCACGAGTAAAACTACCGTTATAGTCCATAACACTTGAGCCATTAAAATTACAATTTCGTTTTGTATAGTTTTTTTCAACTCCAACCTATAAATTTTATTTTTAAGGGGTAAGACTTTTGTGGGTTATGCCACTCCATTTATTGTAATTGATATAGGGATGACAAAAAAATTTGTACCCATAGGTAATAACCGAATCCGTCCCGATTTTAACGGAAAATACTCGATTTGACCGGATATGGATATAATAAAACCCAAAATATTAAACCAGGGACGGGGATAAATATATATTTACCCACTCCATCCTCGTCCTCGTCCTCGTCCCTGTCCTCATTCCCATCCCCAATTTAATATTTGTTTCCGACTTGATTATTTTAAAAAATTTTAATATTGAAGAATTAGTATTTCTAAAGTCTCTTGATTAAAATACGAGATATACAAAAAACCTAATTACCATTGTAATATAACAAAAAGATAAGTTAAAAATATTGTGTGTTGTTTTTGCAAAAAGAAATTAATTAATTTTTTACAGTATGAGTACGGGTACACCTGATACTCGACGAAGACGAGAATGAAAAAAAAAAATACATATCCATCAAGTATTGGGAACAAGGACGGGTTTAAATCATAGATACCCGTACTTGCCTCATTTTGTTGTCATACCTAAATTAATCATTCTATCTCTACCATAATTTTAAAACCTAACTGATAGATGACTTGATAGAGTTATTGGATTGGTGAATCACTAGTTGAATCATATAAATTATTATAAATACAATTAATTTAATTTAAGTGTGTATATATATTATTTGTCAAATATATTTATAAAAAAAATAAATGGCTTGCTGTAAAACAAAATATCCTCAACTTTAGGACATTCTTGGCCACCGTAAGTTTATTCTATTTTTACTAAAAAAAATTAACTCACCTTCACCCGCGCGTAGAATAATGTTTTAAACTCAAACTTGTCACATGTAATATATAATTAAATTATAATTTAAATTAAGGACATAGTATAAAAAATTATTTTAGTTAATCTTATACCATCTAATCATATCAAATTAGTCGCAGATAAAACAAATAAAATAGCATGCACAACAATTTAATTTCAAACCTTTGAAATAAAAGGATCAAATTTGTAACTCTAAATGGTTCAACCAAAAAATCACTTAAATTAAATTGATTCATACCGAGTCGATTGCATAATCAATCAAATATGAGATTTGAACAAATTAAATTATTGATTCTAGTTCAATCGATCAGAAACTAATTTGAATAAATTTATAAAACTATAATCTCTACAACACTTTTAAGATAAAGTCAATTAACAACTGCATTGTTATAATAAAGTTGCATAATAAACGATGCAACAACTCTGCATCCATATTATTTAATTTTTTTTAAATTGAGTAATTATAATGAAATTGAAATGATTGAGAAATATTATTTTATTAATTGTACAAATGACAAGTGAAAAGCATTAAACAACAAAGAGAATACTAAAATTACCGTTATTAACCATACAAATTAAATATTTATTATATATAAAATCATAACATAAATTTGTAATAAATTATATATATATATATAAATAATATTCAAAATTTAGAAAAATAAATATTTTTAAATTATAAATTATATCATAAATTTATAATAAATAATTTTTATTTTGATACAATATTTTAATTATTCATAATTTATTTTAAAAATATTAAAATTTAATTTGTAAATAATATAATAAATATTAATTAAATTAGATAAAAAATTAAAACAAATTGTAATAACTTTTTCATTAAATAAATATGTCCTCTAAAATTGCCAAAAATATTTTCCCTCTAATTAACCCTATTCAATTTAGATAAGGGAATTTAATGAGAAAAAGAAAAAAAATAAAGATTATATTTTGTACACTATAAACCATCCCCGATTATTAAACAAACACGATAAGTCATCATAATAATTATTTAAATTAAGAAAATATTAAATAACTTATTAAAATAAAATAATATTTTAATTTAATTACTTTAAATTTAATTATTCACTCATATATATCAAACACGAATTTTGCATGAGAGTATTTTTAGAATCCATTCCTTAACGAGAACATTCTTAATTTTTTTTTTTTGACTTCATATCTAAAATTTTCAATTTATTATATTTATTATAAATTATAATTTAATATTTTAACACAATATAAAATACAATTTATATATTTAAATATATCTATTTATATAAATTTAAAATATAATTTATATATTTAAATATAATATTTATTTACATATGTAATTTATTATAAAATTTAATTATATAATAAATGTTTAACCCGTAAAATACACTGTTAAAACATTAGTTTACTATTATCTTAGTCGTTAAAATATATTAATATTATCTTTTAATCACATTATATTTAATTTTGAATTAATATAATTATTAATTTACACTTGTTTTAATTTTTCTGGATTTAATTCGAAATTCATGACCATAATAAGTTTTCACTCTTGAAAGGTAAATCTGGAGCGGAGAAAAACATTCCAATATGTTATTTTTGCTTTTGGAGCATCCAAGCGATCAGTAGCTCTTGCTGCACACGCCGTGGCTTGGCTCGTAGCTCTTGTCCGAGTACAGTTTTAGTTTAGCTTCAAAACAGCAGAAACAAGACCACAGATCAGAAACAATTGAATTGATTCCATTCCGAGGGAGAAAAAATGTTCCCCCAATTCGGAGCGACGGCGGAATCTCTGACCAAGGCGTCGACGGCGGTGCTCCGGATCGGCACCGACGCCCACCTATACGACGATCCCGAAGACGTCAACATCGCTCCTCTCCTCGACAGCAAGTTCGATTCCGAGAAGTGCGAAGCTCTCAAGCGCTTGCTCGCTCTCATCGCTCAGGGCTTCGACGTCTCCAACTTCTTCCCGCAGGTTTCCGATCTAAATGACGCCGAATTTGAAAATTTCGTATTTAGACACATCTTGTGATGCAGTTTTTTTTGTTCGCGAACTAGTTTGATTGATTTTTGTTCATTTATGTGTTATTCATGCTCTGTATATCTGATTTCGTTTCGATTGTGAACGTACATTACAGGTTGTTAAAAATGTCGCGTCTCAGTCGTTGGAAGTGAAGAAGCTGGTCTACTTGTACCTCCTGCACTATGCTGAAAAGTAAGTACCTGCTTGAAGTCTATATAACTCTTTTTGGATTTGTGTATAATGACTTGAGAAGTATGCGTTGCTGGTGGATCAAATGTATTTTTTGTTTAGACATTGGGAAACGTGATTTAGGTATTGGCCTTTTGGACTCCGGTTTGGCTATGTGCTAGAATTATGCCTTTGAAAGTCAATTTATCATGTTGTTTCCTGAATTGTAGCGGTCTGCAGTCTTGAATTTTATCATTGACGAGTTATTGTTGTTGTTTTCTTAATGTTGAGTTTGTTTCTTTTACTTAGGCGTCCAAATGAGGCGTTGCTGTCGATTAATTGCTTCCAGAAGGACCTTGGGGACACAAATCCGTTGGTGAGGGCATGGGCACTACGTGCCATGGCTGGAATCCGCCTTCATGTAATTGCACCGCTTGTTATTGTTGCGGTGCAAAAATGTGCAAGAGATCCATCTGTCTATGTTAGAAAATGTGCTGCTAATGCTCTTCCCAAGCTTCATGATTTGCGGATGGAGGAACATGCTTCTGCAATTGAAGAGGTCTGGTTAATGTATTGAAGTTTTTGATATTTGTCTTCAGTTGGACCTAGATGACATAATAATAATGGAAAGAAAAATGTGACTTTTTCTTCAGGGTTTCCTTGGGTTACATACTTTTGAACTAAAAATTATTATAAGACAGTTAGTTATATGCCAGATTTTTTTTAATTTTTTTTTATTTAATCAATGTATTGCTGGAAAGCCATACAGGTTGAGTACATAAATTATGATCCTGCTTACACTGCAGATTGTTGGACTACTTTTAAATGACCATTCCCCAGGAGTTGTTGGAGCTGCTGCATCTGCCTTTACTTCTGTTTGCCCCAACAATTTTTCATTGATTGGAAGAAATTACAAACGGTTGTGTGAGATTCTTCCTGATGTGGAAGAGTGGGGTCAAATAATTTTAATTGGGATTCTTCTGCGGTATGTGATAGCAAGGCTTGGGCTTGTCAAAGAATCTATCATGTTTTCTTTGTTTAATAAAGACATTGAAAATTTAGAGGAAGATGAATCCTACATCACTTCAAATGAGGAGGCTGGTTATGCCATTGATAATAATGTATCTGAATTGGGCAATATGATCTTCCAATGTTACATAGAAGGGCCAGATGAGTACTTATCACGCTCAAGTTCTACAAATAGGGTTGCTCCTAAATTAGATGTATCACAATTTACATCTTGCAGTAACGAAGTTGTGAAGATCCTGCTGCAGTGTACATCACCATTGTTATGGAGTAATAACAGTGCAGTTGTTCTTGCAGCTGCTGGTGTACACTGGATAATGGCTTCTAAGGAGCACGTCAAAAGAATTGTTAAACCACTCTTGTTTGTCCTGCGATCATCGTCTGCCTCAAGATATGTCGTATGCAACTTTTCTTGAATCCTTTGCTAGTTTGTTTATTTTGTTTTACACCTGTTCTTTTACATTCTGTTACATTCATTTGTTTGTTATTTGATATGCTTTTATAAATTATATATGGAATCTGCTTCCGATGTGTAAATGTGTACCATATAGGTTGTTTTTATTCTCTAATCTCTAATTCATTATCACTATCACATCTTTCATTTATTTTTTTTATTTGATGATGTTTCTATTTCCCCCCTTGTTGATTATATTATGTTACTGCCCATCCTTGTGACTCATGAAACTGTTAAATGAGTTTAGTGATAAGAAGATTGATGTTCCTCGCCTCTGAAAGAAAAAAAAACTGTCTGTGCTTGATATCATTTAAATTAGTTTTAGAAAAGGACAAAGGAAAAGTTTGGGTAGAGGGTCATTGAAGTGATGTGATACCTACCATGAGACGAGAATTATCTATTGCTTAGGTTTCTTAATACACCTCCCGTAATCGAGAGTCTAAATTTTGCAGATATGATCCTTAAATATAAAATAGTATATATTTTTTTGGTTGATGTCCCAAATATGAGCTGAATGAATACATCAGCATAACTGTACCTGAGTGAATGCTAGAGGGTCATTGAAGTGATCTGATACCCACCATGCAATGAGAATTATATATTGCTTAGGTTTCTTAAAATACCTCCCATAGTCAAGAGTCTAGACTTTGCAGTTATAGATTTTGATGAGCCTAAAATATAAAATATCTTTTTTTGGTTGATGTCCCAAATATGAGTTGAAGGGATATGTTATACATCATCATAACTGAACCTGAGTGAATGCTAGTGGGATATATATTACAATTTATAGTGTAGGGTCAGGAATACCTAAAGCATCCCCTGGAACTTAGTAACAAGGTTGTTAAACTTGTGGAGGGCCTGCAAACTCGACTAGTAAGAGTTTATCTTATGTTAAAATAATACTAAAATTCTAACTTTATTCATACTATATAACATAAATAACAAAATATCATACTGACCGTAAGTAAAATTATCCAAAGAAGATAAAATCAACAACATAGTGAAAATAAACCATAAATCCATAAAATGCAAGTAACAAAGTATCAAATGTAACCCAAGTACAAAGGACAGGGAAAGTTGTGGAGAAGAGTTCACACTTTGTTAAAAAACAGACAGGGTTGCAGGGGTGATCTCAAACAGCAGGGGCAGTGGGGCACGACGTATGCATTTGCCATTGAGAATGATTGGGGAGGAAGAACAATTCGCAACTGATTTTAGGTCTGCGAATGGAATTAGACAATTAAATAGAAAAACAGGCGGGGGGGGGGGGGGCTGATTAAA